TTTGGCTTCAACAACCAAAGCTAATTGACTACAGTAATTTGTTCTTTACTGTCTCAGTTTGCGAATCAGGGTCAACATTTTTCATCAATCTCCAATCTAATGAGGCTCAGAATGGTAGTTCTCAAATTGCAATTTTCAACGAAGACGAAATGAACGCGAACCACTATCGCCAAGTGTCTGTTTAGGCTACTGACGAAGAATTGGAAAAGTCATCAGTGATGTATACTTTGGCTTTCGGGTGGACCAGACTCGTCACAGCAAAAAAAAAATCAGCAAAACAAGGAGACGGCACGGGCCAACTTTACGCATATTGAAACAGCATTACTCGACGGTGAAGAAACAACTGTTGAATTCAGCCATTCTAGCGATCATGTTCTACGGCCTGAATGTTGGTGTGCTACTAAAGTTGAGACAGATAGCGATGGAACGATGATTGTGCAAGGTCTTCCTCCAAGAGAATTCAAAGTGCACAGACTCCACAGCCGACTGCATTGTCAGAAGTGGCTTCTTCCTTCTACGATGTCAAGAGAAAATGGGCCGGATATGCGGCTCACATGAGAGATAAACAGTGGACGTCCAGAATTACAAACTGGATTCCGGTAGGCGACAAACCAGAGATCGTCCTCACAGTAATTCCAAAGTACACTCATACAATTTCATGACCAAACCTACGCAAGCTACTTGGCCAGTGAAGGAGGTAGAAAACAGAGAATACTGGAGGAACGTCGACACGTTTGCTGGACACCTAAGACGAAGACAATTTAGATGAAATTTTTGCACATATTTTGTTTCAAACGCAAGGCAGATTTGGGGAGCACTGTAGTCGAAGATGGCAGCGTTGCATCACTTATATTCGATAATAAAAAGCATGTAAAACAAGTGAGCAAATTACGATGAATCTATGCCGTTTTGGTGAGAACATCGATGATGACTCAGCCACAACATGATCACCTTAAATCGCCATGTTCGTTAAGTGCCATTACCTGGAACGTCTAAAAGCATATTTTATTGTTTAATAAATCCTATCCTTTTTCGTGGACCTCACCATTGACTTGTGAAATTGTGACTTACATATTAAGTACTGTATTCATAATCATCAGGCGCAGTCATTATTGCAATATTTTGGTAATTTCCGTTATCACGGTTGATGCATGGATCGTTGCCTTGGGCAAGCTTCTTTCCAAGTTTTACTCATTCAGACAAAAGAAAGAGTTTCCAAGTTAGTATCCGACTATATGAGTTATTGGCGACTGGTATACTGGAGGTCTAGAATTGTAATGCCTTTGAATCCAAAACATTTGGCTTGTTCATTTAGTGACGGTTCAAGAACCATTTGAAAAACTTCCTAAAGCAGGTACCTAGCCTGCGATTCAAAACAATAACCAGCTTCCAAA